CTATATAGAAGGATATGCTTGTTATCAGAAACATCATCAATATAAATTTTATATGAATGATCTGGATCTTTAAGAGGAAAATTTTTTTCGGTATATTTAAAACATTTTCCTTGTTCAATTGTTCCTTTATCAAAATTCACAGTCCATCCAACTATTGATCTATCTTCACTACTATAAGTTGCAAAAAATTTAAAATTTGAACTATATTTAATTTGATCAATTAGACACCCATTATGTGGAGTGATTCCATTCAAATTATTAATAATATTTGTATTTGCATTTGTAGTGAAATTATTATTCTCAATATTCGTTTTTTCATTTTTTTTCGAGTATTTTTGATCCGTCACTACCACTTCTATATGAGAATTGTTGTCTTCCATGTATTATTCGTTTTATTTAAAAAATTAATATAAAATTTGTTATTTATTAATTTTTTTATAATTTTTTTCCTTATAATAAAAAAGAAAAATCTACGAATTTCGGACGTATCATGTTTATTAAATATGAATTTAAATATAATATTGACCTTTGTTTATATCTTGTTTTGGGTTTATTGATTTATTAATTAGTAAACTATGTTCATCCCTCCTCTTATAAATAAAATTTGTGATCCAGAACTAATTGATTGAATAAAAGATAAAGATTAAACAGTCAGAACGGTAGTAACGTACAGTCGAAGCCTATTATAATGAATTTCGTCATGGCGGACTTTTTTTACTTCCTTGATTAAATTATTACTCGTTATTATTATTATAGTAATGGTAATGAGTTTTGAGCACATTATAAAATCGTTCAATATTGTTTTAACATTCGAATTTAAATTTTCACTTTTCTCAAAATAATTAGGCGTAAACTTGCTCGATGCTCGAAGTGGACTAATCAAGTTTTACGAGAACAGTAAATAAAAGCCAAAATCAAGGATTAGTAATTAAGTTTATTACAAAGTATCACGTTAACAAAGGGGCGTAAATTATATTTCTAAATTTGGAAAAATATTCCCAAAAGATATAAAAAACCAGATGTAAATCGGTAATGGTTGTAAACGTATTTGATCAACAAAAGGGCGTAAATTCTATTTCTAAATTTGGAAAATCTCGTTAAAATTGAATTCTGACAATCACTATCAAAAAGATATAAAAAGCCAGATGTAATCGGTAATGGTTGTGACATACTTGATAAATATCAAGTTATCCTGAAGATGGATTGTATTCATGACCATAATAAATTCCCCATTCTATAATCAACTCATTGCTTGGGGTTTGTAATTCTGTTATTACACTATAACATCAAATATCTTTTCTTAACACGTTCGTTGTAAGGGTTAAATTATTAATTACTATTATTGCCATTAATTAAGTATATCTGTAGTTGCACACTGATATCGTGCAATAACCACAAGTTATGCAGTGATTTTGTTTGATTATGCGTTATTTTCATTCTTTTATTATATTTGTGAATCAGTGTAACTGAGAACATTTTTTCTTTAAATTGTATTAGATAACCTTCTTTAAAAATACTTCCATTCAAGACGTAATAAGATATATTTTCAAAATCAACAAGGCTTGGACTTTTTATATGCAAAATTTTACTAATATAGACTTTTGGGAAAATTACCGGAACCGGAACACTGGAACAAAATTTCCAGTTTTTCCTGGTTCCAGTGATTTTTTTTCTGGGTCATTAATGGAACACTGGAACCACAAGAAAAACTGGAACCACCAGAAATATATAATAACAATGAATTACTGGAACCAATGAAACCAATAAATTTTAATTTTTTAATAATTTATTTGTTAATGAACAAACAAACTTTATAAAATTTTTCTAATATTATATTTATGATTGTTTTTCTGAAATAATGATACACAGCGAGTCTCGGTATTAGTATAACGGATTATAATATTAATATTAATATTAATATTAAATAATAATAAATTTTTCGGATAATGATGGTCTTTGCTCTTTTGGGCTAATAAGAGTAATAACACGCGATTAATAATATTAATATTAATAATGTAAAATAAACGGAACGTTTATAAGTAAATGAAATAAACGGTTTGATCACTCAGCTTCCCTTTCAATATTGTCTAGATGCCAATAAATATGTTACGATTGATCAAAATCTTCTTGTTCAAGAAGCAATGACAAGAAATCGTAAATATTGTATTGTAATAGGACAAAGTGAAGTTAGTGATGAAAATGATGAAACAAATAAACCTGAGCCAATGATCACTAATATAGAAGCTATAAAAGCTCCGGAAACTGCACTAAATATGTATAGCAAAAAAATTTAGATATCGATTTTCAAGTAATTAGAAATGTCAAAAGATTAAAAAGCGAAATTTCTTACAAAAATTCTCAAAAACAAGTGCAAACGAGAATGGAGGATTATTATAATGTCAACGTTTTAAATGAATGAATTGTTTTTTTTAATTAATTTATACCAACTGTCTTTTTATTATTGCATTCATATTATTATTTAATAAAATTTATTTTTTAACGTAACATGTATCACATGATTTAATCGATTTTTTATAGATAAATTTTCTGGAACAGACATATCCGTTATACCGAGACTCACTGTGTATGTATTCATTTGAGGTTTTCAATCCAGATTTAAACAATCTTGCTAATTTCCATTTTGTCTTTTTATTATCGGCTGGATGTACCCTATGTTTTTAATAAAATTTCAATTCTTCTGAATTATCGTCCAGACCACTTTCATCACTAGTTTCATTAAATGTCTCATCCTCCATGCTTCAAACCGAAAACTTTCAATTCCATTGTTTGATGATGAACTGACGAAAGAATTTGATCCATTCTATATATCATCAATGTCATCTTCACCATCTTCACCATCATCACTTTCATCACTTCCATCAACTCCATTATTAGGTGTTCCCAATAGATGGAACGGTATTAGAAATTTTTAATTATTGTTATGTAGCCTTAGGTAAAGACCATTCCATCCTTTTATTCGTATTTAGATTTGCAGATAGCTAAACAATTACTTTTATTAACAAAAAATATGCAAAGAGTTTCCATTCGTAGTCTACTACTCATTTTAAAAAAATGAAAGTAAAAATAAAGAAAAATTTTCTTGAATCTACAAAGTCATATGATCTTATCACGTGTATAAAAAATTATTAGAAAAATTGTTGCTGCTAGCATTAGTCATAAGTCCCACTCCAAAGAAAAAAGAATTCCATGGCGGCATTATTACATGTAAATAGATATATATTTATTCTAATAAGAAATAATAATGAAAATAAAATTCACGCAAATTTTTCATCGATTCTTGTGGTTCCAGTCTGGTTTTAATTCTCGCGATTCCAGTGCTCCAGTGTGTTTCCCACTAGGACCGGAAATTCCCAACACTGCTCTTGAGCAATTAATAAAAATATCACGTCAAAACTTAATTTTTTTTTTTCACAAAGTATTATAAATATGATTAACAAAACGGGTGTTCCAAAACTTTTGGTCAGGTGCTATATAATGTGATCTAATAAATTATCAATTAATATTTACAAGTACCAGCAAATCACAATGTTGATGTGAAAATAAATAAAATAGTTTGATTTCAGTAATAAACTAATAATTAATAATTTAAAAAATTAAATCTTGGTTATTCTTTTATGAGTTATAATACTAATAATATAATAATACCCTTGTTTGTTGCTTCTTTTATATCAATTTAATTAGAAAGTAAACCAATGAATAAATTCATTAGGTATACTAATTATAAATGAAAACGGTATATATAAAAGTGTCAGACGAGGGTCATTTGGTAATGACAAAGATCCAAATTCTCTATTATCATCTATAAAAAAATTCGATTATGTGATTAATAAATAATATCATAAGAAAATTTTAATAAGGATACCATTAAGAAAATTAAATGTCACAAGCACTGAAGTTTGAAAATCTGTAAACTTATTGGTATTATTATCAGGTTGCTGAACAATCAGAGAATTTTGTTCATAAGTGTTACTATTTGTACAAATTGTATAATATTTAGAAGCAAGTTTCCAATGATTGTTAGGATCACCACTGAAAATAAGTTCATTCACTGTAAGGTTTGAATTGGTTTCAGTATGATATTAAAGGCATACGAAAAACCAAAAGTAACTGTAAATAAAATAATTAAAATGGATGAACTTTTGCAGTAACTCCTAGGACTATTGCAAAATAAGCTCCGAATTTTCCAATATATTGGAGATAGTGATATTAACTTTAGCTAGTAATATAACCATAAAATCGAGTTATAACTATGCACCAAGATCCTGTTAAACAACATAATTAAATTCAGAAAAATAATTGCAAGCATATTGGAATATAAAACTGTGTTCACTCTTTCTCGTATTATAATAATAAATTTGTGATAAATGTAGATAGATCCAGAGTTAATTGATTGGATAATTATGACTTTAAAAATAAAAAGGTTAAATAGTCAGAATGGCAGTCACGTACAGCCAAAGGTTGTTACAATGAATTTCGCCACGGGGGACTTGTTTTGCTTCCTCAATTAAATTTTTATAAATAACCGTCTCCCGTTATAGTGAAATGACAAAAAAAAAATTACATGCTAAAATGGAAACTATGGGATAACTGTAACGAGTTTTGAGCACATAACAATAAAAATCGCACTCAATATGGTCTACGTTCGAATTTAAATTATCCACCAGTTTTAAAAATAATTTAGATATAAGTTTTACGAGGCGTGTTATAAAAAATTAGTGTACTCTGTGTGTAGTCAGTCAAAGTCAAATTGAAGTGATGATAATTTAATACAAAATTCCCGATGTGCATCAATTTATCTCGTGATTATGATTTTAGTATTAGCTTGCTTTTAAATTTTTTGTGTTACAAAACATAATATTAGCGCATGAAAGTTTTCAAAAAAAATTTTTAAAAATACATATAAAAATTTAATAACTTTACTGATTGACTTTCTTTTTACTTTAAATTTTTGAATACAACAAACAACAATAATTATCAAAATGCAACGTTCTAAATCTCACACCCCACCAAATAGAGCACCATCTGATAATGTTAATCAACGTGTTGGCATTCCCATTAATTCAAACAATGCTAACACTAACACTAACAACAATCCCACACCATCTGTTCCGACTGTTAACAATAATTCAACAATTAACGATAATAGAAATTTACAACAGAAGGGTCTTGAATGGGTGCTTGGACGATCAGTTCGAGTCAAAACTTTATTTGATGAGGAATATGAAGGAGAGATTTATGCTTACGATTTAAGAACTAATTGTGTTGTACTTCATATCCTTTTTTTTTTTTTTTTTTTTTTTGATAAATATAGGAATCTTGATGGCTAAATTCTTTTTAAATATAACCTTATTAAAAAAATTTTTTAATCAATCAATCAATTAATTAATTATTCTTTAACTCTTATTTAATTATTCAAAATCCCATGATTTAAAAAATAATTTTAATGAAAAATTACAAAATTCAAGTTCACCAAATCAATTTAATTCAACAACTGCTGCTAACAACGTCAATAACAACACCAATACTGCTTCCATCAATAGTATTTCACCAAAATTTGATTTCAGAATTTTGAAAATAAGTTTCCTTAAAGATGTTGTTCAAATTCCAAATCGTAGATCATCAATCGACATTTCTACTAATAATAATGGTAGCGTTCGCAATAATGTTACTAATACTAATAATAACAATAATCATAACATTAATAATAGTAATAGTAGTAATAATAACACCAATATCAATAATAATAACAATAATATTATATCAACAGCAATTGTTGCAAATGGGCAAAATACAAAAACATCAACATCATTACCTTCACCGACATTATCTACTGCAAATATAAATAATAATAATAACATTTTTTCAACATTTACTCCTTCGGTATCTTATGTTCAAATGGATAGAATTCAAACAAGAGATCTACAAGCATATAAAGAGACACGACTTGCATTAGCAAGAATTGGTGTAGGTGTAACACAGGAAGCTCAAGATATTTTTGATGCTTTGAGTAAAACGTTTGTATTATTTTATCTTTTTCGCATGAAATATAAATTTTATTTTTATACTGGAATAATTAAATATATTTTGTATGCGTGTGTATGCGCTTGTGCATATATTTGTATATATTTATTATAGGTTGCCATGTCGATGGGCAGATGAAAAAATTGTTGTTTTGGACGAGGTTATTATTAATCCACCTTATGATCTTGAAAATTGTAAAGCAAGTTCGAGCGCTTCTGGCTCGCTGGCAAGAGTTCGGAAAGTGGTATGTTTTCTCATTGATTGGGTGATTGAATGATTGACAATTGGATGAATTTGATCATTAATTTGATTTGCATATAAATGTCATATTAATTTATTTGTAGCTTGAAGGCGAGAAAAGAAGATTGGCCAACATTAGAAAACAATAACGAGATTCAATATTAGTTAATTAATAATGATAATGATAATGTGATGAAGTAAGGAAAATGTGTTTTTTTTTTTAAAAAAAAGTATTATTTTTCGTACATTTCATTCATTCATTTATTTATCATTTATTATATTAACAGTGATACTTAAATTTGAAATTATCAAAATTAATCCATTATGATAATTACCTAATCACAAGGTCTAACAATGATCACACCAACAACAACAATAATAATAATAAAAATAATAAAAATCGTATCATCGTTTTTTTAAGAAAAGTTTTACTCTGTATATATTATTTATTATATAATTGTTTTGTGTAAAAAAAAAATGATGATAGAATAAATAAAAAATTAAAAAAACTTTTGAATAATGTAGAACATTATAAAATAACAATTAATGATAAGGATAATAAATCTATTAATTACTATACTGTAAAAAAAATCACCTTCATTCCTTTTACCGTTAATATTAAATGTCCATGATATATATATAATCAATTACAATGATGTCATTTCCATTGTTTCTTGTTTAAAGTATCGTTGTTGATTTTTCCATTCTTTAATTATTTCACTAAGGTTAACAAAATAATCCATGAATGCTAATTAAAAATTAAAAAAAATTATTTTTTTTTTTGAAATTTAGTGAAATTATAATAAAAATTTAATCAACATCATCATATTATTTATTATTACCTTTTACACTAAAGTGACCTTTATATTTAACTCTGATGCACCAAAATGGAATTCCAGCAAGTATAAATCCTAACGCTGCCAATGATTCTAATGGAACACGTGTAAATGGCATTATCACCAAGAATAATGCTACACAACAAAATATAATTGGAGTACTAATCCATACTTTATACGGTCTAATATGTAATACAATATGAAAGTATTAATATTTATATTATATATATATATATATATATATATATATATATATATGTGAACATTGCGAAATACATGCCTTTTTAGATCTGGTTCTCTCCATCGTAAAACCAATAATCCAAACGACGTAAGGAAATAAAAAACCCAAGCAGCAACCGATACAAAATTCAACAACGTTAAAAAAGTACCAGGTATAATCATCAGAATAGTCAATACAGCTTGCATGATTAATGCCGCGGTAGGCGTATTCCATTTATTATGGACTTTACCAAATACTGTTGGCAAATAACCTTCACGTCCTGCAACATATATTAATCTTGCACCTGTAAAAATGCTGCCATTAGCTGCACCAAAGCAACTTGCTGCTACACAGAGCGAAAAAAAAATTCCACCAACTGGTCCAAATATTTTTTTACCAAAATCCTAATCAATGAATGATAGATGATAAAATAAGAAAATTATTAATATGTGTAATATAAACATAAATTCGTTTGCATGTTTGCTAGTTTTTCGGTGGAAAGAATCTTACCAATGCTATCGTATTAGTTTTCAATATAGTTGCTGATGGCAGGACTGCATAATATGCTACATTTGCAAGTAAATAGCTTATAATCACTATAGGTAATCCAACCATTATAACACGTGGTAAATCTCTTGCAGGATTTTTCATTTCACCAGCAACGAAATTCAAATTATTCCTGATTTATATATTGTTGTTATTGATGGATTTAATGATGATTATAATGATGATGTGATGAGACACATATATAGAGAAAAGAGAGAATGTAGAAAGAAGAAGTCTGTAACTCTTTAATTAATAATGAATTGACAAAACAATACCAAACGAGTTCACAATTCACGATTCACATTTAATAATCTATAATTCACAATTATAATTGATAAATAGACAATAATACTGAGAGAATAAATAACCTACCATCCATCGTAAGCCCATAATCCAGAATAAAATGCCAGTGTATAATCACTCAATCTTGTAGACGAGCCCGCAAACAAATCACCCTCAAAATTCTTGGTCAATCCACCTTTTCCTAATACTACAAAACCTATAACTGCAATAGCCGCCAATGTAACCAATTTCAAGACTGTAAATATATCTTGTGTTCGAGTGGCTAGTCGTACACTATATGAATTAATCAATGACAATACTATTATACATATGGATGCCACTATCTTGTTCAGCCAAAGACGCGTGTCATGTGATGGGTTTGTATCGTCACCAAATATTGAATGATATATTATGCGATTAATATATTCTGCAAAAATCACTGCAATGATTGCATTTCCTCCTGGCTAATTGTTATTATTTTTTGAGGGGCATGGGGGAAAATAATCAAATAAATATAAGCATTTATGAAATTATATTTAAACAAAATGTTAAATATTATTAACCTTTAAACATGTTATAGCAGTCCAACTAAATAAAAAAGCAGGTAGACTTCCATATGCATGTGCTAAATAAGGATGTTCGCCACCAGATATTGGGATTTCTGAACCTAGTTCTGCATATGTAAGAGCACCGGTGCAAGCTAAAAATCCACATACAAGCCAAACTATTAACGACATTCCAACTGAGCCTGCATGCACGGCAACTGGGCCTGGAGAAGCAAATATTCCAGATCCAATCATTAAACCTACTATTAACGTCAACCCATTCATAAATGTAACCTCTTTCTCTAAATGTGTCGGATTCCTTTGAGTTTCAGTTAACGACAGAGGTATTAAGTTATCACCAAAATCAAAAACCTCGCTCTGTCTTTCCTCTGCATTCGGAATCAACCTCTGTTCATCATCTTCTTCCTCAACCAGCCTATTCAATTCATGAGAACTACTTTGATCTAATGGGTAAAAATCTTCTTCTTCTTGTGACTCACGAAGTATCGTTTCTTCTTGTTCTACTTTATTTGAATTAGACATGCTAATTTTTTTTGTATCAAAAATTTTTTTAAATTAATAAATTTTATGCATTAAATCTTACAGTGATCGTGTTACAAATAAAAATTTAAATAAAATAGCATAAAAAGGAAACAAAAAATATTAGTGTGGCTGATTAGTTTTTTCTTGAAGCTAAGCCTTAGCTTGTTTGCAACAAAACCAGACAAATCTCCTATACGTACTATCCCTATATAAAAAAATTTAGAATGAGTGATGGCTTCAGAATGGATTCATTAAATTGTTATTAATTGAATGTATATAAAAAAAAATTCGCTGAATCTGTTAATAATTATTAATAGTCAATAGAAAAACTTGTATTGAAATTTATCAGTTAAATCAACCCACTACACTGTATAATTTTTGTAAAACTTTCAACAATCCAAATTCAGAAATTATTTACTTTCTTATGCTAATAATAATAATAATATAGTAATAGGCATATTCCCTGATTATTAAAATTATTGTATCACATTATGAATTGATTATATAACAATGATAATGGTCTTGTTGTTATAAAAAGTGTGAATTGTATTTAGCAAAGACAATTTTTATGTTTGTTTAATCAACTAAATTTATTTAAAATCAAATGTTATAATGACAATAGAAATATAAATCAATATGAAGTTACTTCTTTTGAAGTCATTGATTTTGGAATTGTGGAACCTTATCCACAAGATGAAGAGGGATCATTACTATCAATGCCACCATCACCAGTCAATTTATCATCATCAAAGACCTCAAACTGCACATGGGAGTAGGAATGATAATTAGTTAGCAATAATAATTATAATGGTAGATCTGAAGACATAGAACAGTGCTTGTATAGCCTTTGAATAGTGGCTAATAACCTGTATACATAATTTATAAATTTGGGAATGTATTTTTGCATTACATTCTTTAAACGGCTAACTATCTTTGAGTACATGCATGCACATACCATTTGAGGGATCCCATATACAAAAATACATGATTTTGATCCAGAAACCAATATATTAATATTCTCAAGTTTTGTAATGTACAAACATGATCTTCATGTCCTTTAAAAGTATTAATTAATCTTCCAGTGGAAAGTTTCATATGTATTTATACAATTATCATCTGATCCTGAAATGATTTTCTTGGAATATGGCTTTTGAAAGTAACACTTTTATTTTTATTATTCCACCAATTTCTCTGCATTAGAAAATATCGACCATAATATATGATTTGTTTTAATTATTTGCATCTTCGCATAATGTTATACACGCTCACTGCATATAAATATTTGATTATTTTTAAAATGACTTCAGAGGGGAGTATTTTAAATCTATTAACACACTATTAGAGTTAAAAAGTAAATACAAATTCAGGGTTTAAATCAAGTTACAAATTAATTAATTCAAAATGACAAAACTTACTGATTAGCATTTAAGTTGTTGATTAGGTTGAGATCATGGAACAAGGCTTCATTATTTTGTTCTGAGATGGTTGGGACTTCTTGTTCATTATTGTTGACATTAATAAAAAAAAAGTATATAACCATTCTTTTTAAATAACTAGAGTGATGATAAGTGGCGATAACCACCACCATTCTTATGATAAACACTTACCCATATGTATTTTTATTATGGATTTCTTTTTTACATTTTGTAAAAAAAGAATATTTATTTATTATGTATGGTTTTTTTTTGTTGACGCGATTAAATTTTTTTTTTTCGTTACTATTAGTGAAATAAATAAAATAAAATTCTAGAATGTAAGGACTTAAACCAGGAGACCTTATGAATGAAACCAATCGTCAAGGAAGCTGGGAAGTGTTAGAAAAATTATATTCTGAAGGTAAACTTAGATCAATTGGAGTATGCAACTATACAACAAAATGTCTTACACATTTATTAGCTAATTGTAAAGTTGTACCAGCAGTACATAAATTCAAGTTTCACCTATTGTTGTATCAAGATGAACAAAAAGAAATAATTAAATTGACTAAAAAACATATTATCAAGGTAGAAGCTTACTTGAGCTTAGGAGAGGGACAATCGGTAAATGGAAAAAATCAAAGTACTCATTATTAGAGAAATTGCTGATAAACATGAGGTTACTGAGGCACAAGTCTTGTTGAGATGGGGATATCAACATGATGCTATTGTTATACCTAAATCTGTTACACCTGAAAGAATTAAAACTAATTCTGAGATATTTCTTTTTGAATTATCAAAGGAGGTAATAATGAACGAATGAATTCATTTATTAAATATTATATTTAATCTTAGTATCATTGTTTTTTTTTTAAATTAGAATATGGATTTCATTGCATTGAGTAAAACAAGAACAAAACGTTTTTGCCGGGTCTTACTAATATTTTTAACTTTAAATCTTTTGTATAATTATTTAATAGTTTTTTTGAAATGACTTGTCACACAATCTGTAATTCCTTAAATATGCACCAAAAGAGGAATCCATATTTTAATTTCTTCAATGAATTTAATTGGCAAGTCTAAGAACAATATATTTCACATTAGTTTCGATCTATTTGTTGTAAGAAAGAATTAGCTTTTTTAAAATAATAATTTATAATTGTATTTAGTATTATCGAAACCTCGAAGATCATCCTTTAATTAGCAACAATGACACGGTTAATCATCCACCATATTAATATCAACAATACCTTTATTTTACAAATCAATCTTTTTCCGGGAAATTGCTTTCTTTTTTTAGAAGTAAATTAAACAATTTTCTCATATATATATCTCACTGGTTTCACTTGTTGCAAAATAAAATTTGCATTTAGGAAGTGTTATTGCTGTTTTTGATCATATTTACAACTTGTGCAACTATATATATTCATAATATTGGAAAGAAAAATGAACAAAAGTCTTTTTCGCCTGCCATTTGAATCCAATGATGATGAACTTGGCCCGTGGAATGTTCTGCTCAGTGATCATGCAATTCAAGATATCCAAGAGTTGCAGATGAAGCCTTGCGCAATCGATGCACTCATGAAGAAACTCTTTCAGATATCACATGGAAAATGGAATAAGCATGGACTCCAACACACATTACAATCTCGTTCTCATGTCATACTACCTATTTATGTGGTGGAACTGAAACCTCCGAATTGTGACAACTTGAAAATTCTCTGGCAGGTTGATTATGGATTCTCTGTTCGTGACAATTCATACATTCAGCATGCGGTAATTTGGGCAGTCACTGTGAACGAAGAGCAAACCAACGAAAGATTAGAAAATATTGCATTACTTCACCAAGTTTACACCCCTGAGCATAAAGACAAGTGTGCATTCCAACAGATTGGCAAAGGTGGTATCGTTTTACCAAAATCCTTTGAAGATGAGAGTGGAACAAAGTCCGCCCAGAGCAGATTGAGGAAGAACCAAACAGATGATGAAAATTTGCTAAAAGTCCATGAAATGCTTACTACAAATAAGTTTGTTCCATTATCAAAGGTAGAGTGTGAATTTGAACAAATCATTATTATTTAAGGATTTAGACAAAATACATTTTAACCAATTTTGTGTGTAGAGCTTGTTTTTGTCACTTGCCAGAGGTGGTACTGAATTTACTTTCCAGGTATCTAAGCTTGAGTATGAAATTATCAACCATCCTTCATCAGCAATTGTCATTGGTCGTTCTGGTTAGTATTAAAAATTTTGTTATGCCCTTATAATTAGGGAGAAAAGGCTAACATTATTTTTTTTTATACCTAGGAACTGGCAAAACCACATGTATTGTGTTTAGACTTCTTGCTTCATACCTGAAAAGCCAACCCAACGAAACATCAAATGGCAATGGTGAGGATTCTCGTAAAAGACAAATATTCATTACGTTGAGTGATAATCTTTGTCACAAAGTAAAAGAAAACTTCAACAAATTGCTAACATCGGTAGCATTTGCTAATAAAAGGATGTACAAAGATCAATCCCACGAGGAAGGTGATAATATTGATGTGACAAATGACACAAAGATTGGGAAAGATAAAATTCCAAACTCATTCCGTCTTCTGACAAAAGACCATTTCCCATTAATAATTACCTATGAAAAGTTCACCAAAATGCTTCTAGGAACTTATGATATTAATGTACTGAATCCAACTAAACAACCAAATTTTGATGTAAATGATGATGATACAGATGATGATATGTCGGATTCATTATCAGGATGCTTCGTAAGCTATAGACTCTTTGAAAAAAAATATTGGCGTCATTTCAATGATTATTATACAAAGAAGTTTGATTGTGGGATGGTCTTTTCTGAATTTTCTATTATCAAGGTATGTAAAATCCCTACATCACGTTATTCAATTGATCTTGTATAGATAGTTTAACTGTAATTCTACATAGGCTTGTAAGATTAACACCATTAGTTAACTGTTAATTATGACAAGAAAATTTCATGATGTTCTATTTTAAAATTTAAATAAATATTTTTAAGGGTTCTAATCCAAATGGGGAACACCTATCAAGAGAAGATTATCAAGACATCAGCACTAAAAAATTCCCATCATTTTGCTACAACCGTGATGAAATTTATGATTTATTTCTAGAATATGAAAAGAGGAAGGAAGATTATGACTCAATAGATTTGTAAGTCTCAGATAATACATGATTTTCATTTTTGATAAATTTTAAAATCTTTTCTTTAGGGCAATTATTATTTTACAACATGTCAAAATGGATCGAGAGAGAGAGAATCCATTTAATTTGCAAATACATGAAGTATATATTGATGAGTGTCAGGACAATAGCATTGTAGAATTAGCACTTATTTTAAAGCTCTTTGAACGTGTTGATAATGTTTTTTTGGCTGGGGATATAGCACAATGTATTGCAAGGGGATCATCTTTTCGATTTCAAGGTATGCATACAAAAAGCAGCTAATATTAAGAATGGTTGTGAAAATTACTACACATTGTCCTTTTTTTAATAAACAATTATAATGATATAGATCTGAAAGCTTTTGTATATAAATGGGAACATGATCGACCTAAAATTATTCACAATCAACCTAGTGCCATAATGCCAAAACTGTTTGAAATGAATATTAATTACCGTTCACACAATGGAATTCTTAGACTTGCTTCATCAGTAATTGATCTAATCACTCAATTTTTTCCTGAGTCCATTGACCAGATGCCACGTGAGTGTGGTGAAGTTGGTGGTCCTCGACCAATTGTTTTTGAAGGGATTGATTCTGAAGCATTCTTTTTCCATGACTTTTCTGAGGATGGGAATGAGACAAGTAATATTGAATTTGGTGCTGAGCAGGTCATTATTGTACGTGATGAAGAAGCTAAAGAGCATGTGAAGAAAAAAATTGGTGAAGAATTTGGATTGATATTGACTGTGTTTGAGTCCAAAGGGATGGAGTTTAATGATGTGCTGTTGTACAATTTCTTTGCTGATTCACCTGCATGCTCAAAGGTAAAATTTTATGCATTCTTTTGAACACATCATATTAGTCACTTATTAAATAATTATGCCATATATTTAGTGGCGTGTAATTTTCTCTGCATTTGACAACCATTCAAAAGGAATTCAAGAATTTTATCATGAGAAACATTATATACTTTCTTCAGAACTCAAACATCTTTATGTTGCAGTGACAAGAGCACGCCAGCAAATTTGGATATATGATGAAAACACTGAATGGAGTGAGCCAGTTTGTAAGTATTGGGAACATCATAAACTGGTCAATGTAATTAATATTGTGAATGGAAACAGTGCTACTTTGTCTACTTTGGCTAAGAAAAGTAGTCAATCTCAATGGGATCAACAAGGAGAATTTTTTTTTAAACGACAGCAATATGACCAGGTAAAAATCACATTTGAAATATTCTGTTATATAATGAATTGAAATTGACTAATGTAATCTAATCACTTTCAGGCTGCTTTCTGTTTCAAGAAAAGTAAAAATGAAAAGTACAATCTAGCAAAAGCAAAATATCTTCAGCAGTTTGCCAAAGATTCTAGATATGATTCTGATGTTACTACTGTGAATTTCAATTTTGTTAGTGCTGCTGAGGCTTTCTTAAAATGTTCATTACCAATTAATGCAGCTTCATGTTATCTGGTAAAAACTTTGTTTTTCAGACACTTTAGAAATGGATCACATCTGTCTGAATACTAATTTATTAAAATCTGCAAAACATTTAGGAGGTCAACATGTATGAAAAAGCTGGTGATATTTATGAAAATTGTGGTAAGTTAGAGTATGCTGCTCATTTTTACTCTAAAGCCAATAAATGGGATAAAGTAGGTGATACTTTTAAAAAGGCAAAGAAGTATGATAAAGCATTTCTTGCTTATAAAGATGGTAAATTTTATGAAAAAATAAATGATTTGGTGAAAAGGTAAGCTCATTGCCATGATTTCCTAAACAATTATGTTGTATATATATATTACTGCCATTACCAAATCATGGTTTATTGAAAAAAAAGTGTGGCATGCTATCTGGAAATTTTTTTATATAAACTTTCCATAGTTATTATAAATTTATGGAATAGTAAATATTATGCAGCAAAAAAATTTTTGACACTTGTTTAAATTATTTTAACAGTTACAGACAAGAGATTGATGAGAATCTTATTAGCACTCATTATCGATCTGTTTCCAGAGGACTATGCTCATGTGGCAAGTTTGAAGAGGCCATTAACAATATTGTCATCTTGAAAGAGGCCAATTCAGAAGATCTTGAGGTGTTAAAATGCTTCTTAAATCTATGCAGAGTTAACATAATAAAAAATATTATGACATTTTCAAATACCAAACAAGAAGTGAAAAAGCTCATTTCCAAGGCAAATAATTTTGTCAAGAAATTCAAATCACAATTGTTAGAAAAATCTGAACAATGGGAAAGTTTGATGAAAGAAATACAATTATACTCAGCTTATTTAAATAAGGACCTCAATGGTGTTAATGAGTGTATACAATTCTTTAGAAGTAATCAAGAGCCTGTTACTGAATTTTGTGCAGTAAATATATGTCTGCAAATCATTCCTCAATCAGTAGAGCACTGGCATGAATGGCTGCAATGTCTGTTAAGATTATGTGTACTAACTTTTATTTTTATAGCACCACATCAAAATATTGACAACATTAACAAAATTCATAAGGATTTTAAGGAGATTTTTTTTGTGAGGAGTCATTCAAATAAATGGAAATTTTTTTTAAGCAATCCATTTCTTAATATGTGGAATGAAATTAAACATGAAATCATAGATGATGAACATGTTTATAATGCAAATATTTTGCACATTAAAATGAAGCAATTCCTTGCCTCATATATCTTTAAGCTCATCTGTGATGTTGACAAGAAAAGCAGGAAAATTCCAAATATAAGCTTTCATATTTGTTGCTGTAAAAAAAAACCAAGTTGTGAAAATCATCATGTGATTCCAACACCATTAGTTCTGCACCAACGCTTGAAACTTGCAAGTCTTAATTATACTGTTATTCAACAGTTAGATATAATGTACCATTGCAATGGGCTTCTTAGCAAGGAGCAAAGTGAAAAAGTTCCTGGGATGCAAGGGTGGTGGACTGAAAAACTAGTTGAAATTCATATTCGTTATCAATCACCACAAATAAGCTGCCCTGAAATGACTCAAGTGATGCTCTCAAAACTTCCTATGCACACATATTCTGGTTTTATCAGTTATGTTCAAAATATATGGGTGGCTAAAGAGCTCAAAGTTGACAACTTTGCAACCATGCTAAAATGTATATTCATTTTGCAACAGCTGAGGGACAAACCAGGCATTAAGAAATTTGATTTGGAAATGTCAAAAATAAAAGAGCTTTCACAACCTGATGAATCACTCATTGGTTTTGAGGAGTACCATGGGTACAAATATTATGAAGTAATTCCAGTTGGAAAACGACTTTCATTATTCTTTGAGCATCTCTATAAAAACTATGTTATTGATGCAATCTTACATGCAAATGTGTTTATTCAATATGCTTTAGACAATGCCAAATCAGTCCATTTGGATAGCCCCAATGCTTTAGGTGATCTTGTATCTCTTATGGAGTTTAAAGTGTCTTTGGTTTTCATGGCTAGTCCTGAATATTGTGATTTTTGTCTTCCTCGAGCATATCTTGTTAATTATTTTAAAGCATTCACTGTGAAGCCACTTTTTTTTAATCTTAATCAACAAAATGCTTATCATATAGATGACTATCTAGCTGCAATTGATCATTCTTTTAAACAAATTAAACGGCTTCTGCAACAAAGGGGTGATACAAAGATAAAGCTTCGATTGATACGGCTCTTGGCTCTCATCAGCCTAAATGAATCCACTTTTGCACAGAAGATTTTTGATCTTTTCAATCATTTAAATAATAAAATCTCTTCTCCTAGGGCCAAGAAATATCTTTCCGAGGATTATATGAAAAGTTAATATTCAAATAATTTTTAAACATGGTTATAAATCTATAAATATATAACATTGCATTGTTTTTCTTAATATTTAGACAGCTCACCTTTTCACCTTATGAACATTTTGAGTGAAGACTTAAGTGACTATGGCCTTGACTCTCTGGTCATTGTCCATTACAATTGTGGAGGCACCTCCAAATTTTCCAACTATGAGAGCCAAGATATTGTGAAACTTACATACTCTTCTATTAAGGAATTTCACTTTGCTCTTCAACAAATCATATCACCAGTAGCTACCAGCTCCATGTCTGTCACTATTACTAATGAAGATGAAGATAGTGAAATTACATCATGGTTTCAACAGACCAATGAATCTGCCACAAAAATCCAAACTTGGATTCGTCATGTTTTTGATCAAAAGAAGTCTCACCAACTTCAAAAGATTTACAATGAAATAATAACTTTTTGTCAGGGTGCCCTGAGAAAGAAAAAAGAAAAGACATTACACAAATATATCATTCTCTTGAGTGATCCAATGGTGGATGTGACTGTGAAGTTAAATAAAATGCAAATTAAAATGGATGCAACCAAAGACAAATTGAATATAATCAAAGATAAATTGAATAAAGATAAAGATATGGACAAAGCTGAAGAATGTCTTAACCTGCTGGAAAAATTCAAGTTTGTATATAATATTTTGGTACTTTGTGGTTTCTTTTATCATTCAAACTCATTAGAATTTGTATTTTTAGTCACACCCATTATAAGAAGAATGTTAAGCAGGCATTAGATTCATTGGCAACAACTGAGAATGCAGAAAAACTTAAACAAGAAAATGTTGAATGGTTAGAAAATAAATTACAAGAGGCACATGATTTAATTAATCAGGTTTATGAATGGCTTGATAAGTGCAAAAACGTAATAAAGTCTGGATAATTATAAACTCTAAAAGTTTCCATTTTTTCTTTCTTTTAGCTGTTATTTCCAGAATTTGAAATTTTTTTTATAATAAAAGATCTTGAGCTTTGGAACATTCCAAAAAGAAAGGAAAAACATTTATTATATTAAACATTTTATAATAGCTTTGAATATTTTAATATTGTGATTAAACTAAGGATTAAAAAAATATCAAAACCTCCTTCCAACGTCATAGTGCAAGACAGCTTTTCAATTAACGGCCAAGAACAACTTAATCTTTGGTCACTCTTGTCTAAGGTTGTGGGCAAATCTCCTCCAGAAATCAATTGACAGAGTTTCGACAGGTTACACATTAATTGTTTATTAGAGTTTAAGCAGAGTTTTGCATTTGGGGTTTTGTCAATTGTCAGAGTTTTGACAAGGTATATACTAATTGTTCATTAGAGTTTCAACAGAGTTTCAACAGTCACTAAGAGGTTTCGGCAAGCAACCTTACTCTTGTCAGTTAATTACTACCTCTTTTTTATACCTAGAAAGTTTTGATGAATCTGTGAGCACATTTGATGGTACAGGATGATTATAGAATATGGGCCCTTTTACAAAGCTCAAAGTTCCTTTATTTACTTATGACTGGTTTATTTTAATCTAGTCTTGGTTGCCAAAACTTTTCTGGAGAGAATTAAAATTAAAAGCTATTTGTTAAAACTAAATCAAAAGTCGAAAAATTTATGGAGGAACCTTTTACAATTGCGAAGCTCTATAGTTTTGGAAACTAACATTTATTGGCTGATCACTCTTCCTGCTTGACCCCATTTTTTCTAATATGACACCAAAATAACCTTTTTTTCTAAAGTTAAAGGCTTCTTTATAACCTTTCTACCATAAATATTTTTAGCATGTAAAGTTTGCACTCGTTACAATGTTTAATTCTTTAATATGAACAAACATTAATGGTGTTTAAACTGCACCTTTAGATCTTTTAATATGTAAACTATTTTTTATTTTTTTAAACCAATAAGCTCTCCATGTCAAAATTGGCAAATGTGTGATCAATTGAAGGTCCATTGGCAATTGGAGCTTACGTACGAACCGGTTCGAACCGATTCGAATATTCGATTCGAACCATCAGCGATTCGAACGATTTGTACCATTAACGATTCGAACGATTTGAACCAATAATTTGATTTGAACCCATTTCAATGCTTTTTTTTAATTTAAATTCATAATAAAAATTTAACTTGAAAATTATTATGCGAAAGGTTAAAGAGTTATTATGTTTAAATATTTTCTTTTTTCGATTATTGGAACAAGCCTTACGCTTAACAAACTCATCATATTCACCTATTAAATTATAAGATCTCTAGCTCTCCACATTCTAGTTGATTGTGAGTATTCTTCACGCCCTTTTTTTTGTGACTAATTAAAACAGAAGATAGTGGTACTGCCATTATAGTTTCAGATGTGGTAAGTTGAATCTGAATCCAATTGCATAGAAGGTCTGGGAAGTGAAAGGCAGAATTAGAATTATCATTATAAAATTATTATTGTTTAAAAAACTGTTGTACGTGAAAATGAAATTGTGTGAATTCGCAATTCACATATGTGAAATTCAAATTACCCCACTCCGTAATATTTCAATTTCACATACTAATACAACAAAACCAAATATTCGAATAATTTTAGTATCCCAAAATTACTGATTCGAACCAGTGTTGTGACCCGAAGCTCTGAGTTTAGGGAAAACCAGAAACAGGAACTAACAGAAGCCACCCGAAGCTAGTTTGGGTTAGTATTTTATGTTCATGTTTAGGTTTAGGTTTAGTTTTCTGCTTAGTGTAAGTTCATTTTCCGAAGCGTTTCGGGAAGCCAAAAGAGTTTCTGGTCACAACACTGATTCAAACCCATCCAAGTCGACCTGTAAGTTCTATCTATTAGTGATCCATTGGGTACCTTAGTGCAACAGTTTAACCATATTTAGTATTTCATTAATGGCAATGGGCCAGTTAATTTGCCAACCCTGCTCCATGATAATTTAGTAACTTTGTGCGCTTTAAATTTTTTAAAAATTTTGCAGCTGTAATGTTTTTCTTTTTTGTCTAATTAGTGAATAATTAATCAGATTTACGAATGGCTATTTTAATTAATAAATTATTTTATTAATAATATCAAAGAAAATTTAACAAATGGATAAACAAGGTTTTAACAAGTATTTCCATTTAAAAAAATTTCCTGCTTTTTTTGTAAATGTTCAAGGAACCAATTAGTCCAAGAAAGCTAGTCATAAATTGTAAACTTATTGATTAGAATTCTTTAACTCCATTTTCATTCTTCATTTATTTACGCCACCGCAGTTGGACGCTAAAGATGAAATAAAATTTCATAAATTAATCGCGAACAAATTAAAATGTCAAAACACACACAAATATATATCCTGAAATCTATCTACTCTTCAAGGTGAGTAAGCACGTATATATATGGAATATACAGTATATCTTGCATCTGCCTACCCCATGGAACGAACATCAGCTATAAACCAGTTCATGTAATCTACTAACTTATCAAACCAAACCGCCAATAAGCCTATCCTTCCATGATGGGATGGTGGGTAATTAAAGCTGCTGAACAAATTTAAAAACTTTTTAAATGAAAGTGCGACTTGATCTTGATGTTTTTCCCTGAATAGTTTCGTCTAAATACATACGTTGTTCTTCTGGTTGTAGTTACCCTACATTCTACCAGTTACACAGTATCCTTTTTACAATTTACGTTCCGCTGTGACTTAGTGAACTAGCTTCACATCATAAAGGTGTCAACTGCTATTAGTTATAGAAAAAATTTATGATCATAAATTTTTTTTGTTTTTTGCAATTATTTTATTATTTTATTTTTTAGATCCAAATTTGAGTTATAGTTATTATTATAGAGAGATTTTGTACCATAGTAAAAAACGGGGCCGATATTTAAAATTAATAACGAATTCATAGATACAACTTAATATCATATTAATATTGTTGTACCCAAAATCACTAATCTCGTCATATCGAATTTTATATTTTATATTAATATTAATATTATGAACGAAAAATTTAAAAATCCGCTATAACGCGAATTTAATTATAATCCAGGTTTGACCGAATATTACAATAGGTTTTCATTTTACTGTGTTTAAGCGTAAAGAAATTTCACATATGCCATGAACCTACTGGTGATACTAATTTTCTAAAATATTGCCTATTCATTTAGACATGAAACATTTTAACTGGGCTAAATAGTGAAGTGTTACCCTTACATCAACTACTAGGATATGTTTGCGGATCAGAATACTTAGAAGCAGCATTTATAATAATTTTCTGGGGTATATACACTCGGTGAACAAAAGTTTGCATCCAAAAATTTTTTTGAATTTATTTAAAACTGTATTAATATATACTAATTAAAATATTGTAATCTTTATATCATTCAAAAGCTCTTGTTCTTAGAATATGTTCGTGACATTAAATTTTGAAGTTTTGTCGTAAAAAAAGATAAAAATAAAAAATAAAAAACGAAGTAAAAATAACAACATATCAATAGATAAAGACTTATTTTTTATTTCAAAAAAAAATATTATTTAATATCTAGTTGGCCAACCATTGTCAACAATGCAATATTAAACCCTTCGAGGCGTACTTTAAGTTCGTAGTTCTTTCCCATTTTTCAAAATTGTTTTAAAAACAAACATTTTCGCTATTTTCACAACATTCGTTTTTATGACAAAACTTCAAAATTTAATGTCACGAACATATTCTCAAGAATGAGAACTTTCGAATGATATAAAGACTACAATATTTTAATTAATATATATAGATTTGGAATAAATTCAAAAGAAATTTTGGATGCAAACTTTTGTCCACCGAGTGTAAATAATTTCTGAATGATGTCCTATTTCATTATAAGAATAGTAATAATTATAGGTCATCTTTTCTTTTACAAGGAAAAAAGGATGCTTATGTATATAAATTAACATGTACTATCAAAAACATCTCTTACTATTACTGCACAATTTGAAGGAAAATTTTATCGAGTTATTTATACATTTGAATATTGAATGAATTAATATTCATATCACTGTTTATTGGTAAAAATTGGTCAGTTAAAATAGCTCAGTCACGAGATTTCTTATCCTTTGAATCGTAATTTTTAATGAAAGGGAGATTTAAATGTGGAGACCAATGCTCAAAGCTGTAGGATGCACAGCATCGCTTTCATTTGATAATAAAGTGTTAACATTAATTTTGTATTTTAATTTTTAAAGTGAATTTCGGACTAGATATTCAAATCATTTATCTGATTTAAACATTACTCATGCTCTGTAATAAAGGATATTTAAAATATTCTGGATAGTAATAATTGTAAATTTGAATCATATCAACGTTTTAACTATTGGCATTAATTAAAAATTTGAAGAATGCGTATACATATTAATGTTAATTTCAAGATTGGCCGTCCAATACAGATAAATATAATAAACAGTTTCTCTTTGAAAAAAATGACTTGTCACATTTAAAGAGTTAATCACTGAAAACAGAAAGAGGAAAATAATTATTATAAGAAAAATTTTCAAGCGAAAAAATTTACTATTAATTTCAAAATTTAATTTAAAATAATTATTAGAATTTTGCAATTTTGTCATTAAACTATAGTTTCAAAATAGATTAAACTTTAAAAGGTCTTCAGGTGTAGAACCCTTTGAAAATCATTCTTTAATTAGCAACAATGACACGATTACCGATTCCTTCCAAACATTATCGCAATCTTTTTATTATTGTTTTTCCCACGAGCCATCGAAAAAAATTGCCGTTCTGTTTTTTTTTTTTTTTTGATAATATATTATTCAAAATATTTTCTCTTGTATATTACTCTGCAAAAAATTCTTTGTCATTTTTTTTCCAGCAATTCATGATTACAGAGTAATTTTAAAGGATAATAATCAGAAGCGGAAATTTAATTTGAGTAGCGTAATATATATTATACCTCTT